CGTAGGTGGGCGTCGTGGAGGTGGCGGTTAGGCTGAAACTTCTACTTAGATTTTAACGAAATGAAATGAACAGTCAAAATTCTAAACGATCGAATTCTCTAGCAACTACCTAAAACGGAAACTCTGACCAACTCGATTAGAAAGAAGCGCGCACTAAGATTTACTTGCCCATGAACTTGATTTAACATTTTAAATCTCAGTTATTGAATTTTCACTGTGAAGGAAACGCAGATGACAATTAATTTGACTTTTTTGTTTTTCATAGCCCAGAAAGGATTTGTACGATTCAAAATCTTGTTCTGATAGATATAACAACGCACAAGCTATCCTTAAAAATTGATTCTACAGCTACTTTTTTGAGCTGTATAGCGAAAACGTGAAAAACTGTATAAAACGAAGGGGAGTAGAAAAAATAGTCGAAAGATAAAAGTTTTTTATGATTTTTCAAAAATATCATGGTCAGTAAAAATGCTATAGCTCGATTAACAATGCTTGTCGCAGAGCGCACTTGCAGGAAAACATCCATTAACTTTTAACACAAACATAAACAAACATCATTTAACTTTTTTATCTGTACAAGAGAGAATTGAATTCTGCACAAAGTGAGGCTAAAACAAAGTTTAAGTCTTTGACCTTTTTTTGCATAAAACAGTTATACTCATGCATAGTGGCGGGCCATCATTATAGCAAAGTGTGACAGTTGCCACATCAAAAACTTTTATTCGTTATGGGTTTTCCTGTACAACTATTTTTTTTAGAAGTTTCTTACACTTTTTAATAATTTTGCCACACCAAAAAAGATGACCCTGGCCCGCCGATGCTCATGCAGTATCAAAACTGCTATGTCAAAAGTGAAATAACTTAATTTTTATATTTAAAAAATTGTAGTTCTCATGGGAAGTTAATTTTTTCTTCTTAGATGTTAGGATTGGTAGCACAAAATTTAAGGATGTTTTAGGTGCACTATGTAATGTCGACGAGCTCGGTTGTTTCCCGCTAGCCGTCAAAGATAGCCGTCAGGAGTCACTTTCTACGTCTTCTCATGTAGAAAGTGGCTCCTGACGGCTATCTTTGACGGCTACCGGGAAACAACCGACGAGCTCAATTTTTTTTTTGCTGATATTCACAGGTCTTCAACGATTGGAGAGAAAATTGCAGGGTGATCTTGAAATCGCAATTTTCTCTCCAATCGTCATGAGATGTGACGGATCGATTAGCTAATCAACCAAAAAAATACCTCATGAGTTGTGCATAGAAAGATAGGTCACCTTGAAATCGCAATTTTCTCTCCAATCGTCATGAGATGTGACGGATTGATTAGCCAATCAACCAAAAAAATACCTCATGGGAAGCATGTGCTGCACTTTTCGAAGTCAATCTGTTATTGACAACTAGATGGAACCCGTCAAACTGCCGTCCATTCAGAAACATGAATTGATCAATCGGTTGATCGTCTTCAGAACTAGTCGACAAGTTCCAATGTTGTCAATTGATCATACTTGTATTGTATATGTAGAGAGTACAAGAGAAATAATTCAGTACTTAACTACAAGCATCATACTGATTAAAGCACTCGAACTACACAATAGAAAGCTAAAAACAAGTTCTTCAAAAGAACGGAAAATAGAAAAGATTTTTCTAACTGGTATTTTCTGAAGAACAAATAAACCTAAGTAGGAATATGATAAAATTAAAAACTCAAGTTTTGCAAATTTTTAGAGAAGTCATGACAAATCTCTATTTGAGATAAATCGAAAACACATTCTCTTTTTTTTTATTTTGAAGAACTCATTTACTTTACAGTATATAGGATGTTGGAAAATAGAATATTTCTTAGGCGATATGACAACTAACTATAGTTCATAGACCATTTTATTCCATTTTCTATTAGCTATGTTTCTGTATAAAGTTTTATCTGGTTCTTTGAGGAAAATCGTTTTTATCAAGTGCTGGTACTCTACAGACAATACCTTAGAAAAAAGAAGCTAAAAAAATTTCTGTAAGAATCCAAAAATTCATAATAACTGAAAAACCTGTAAATTTATTTTTTATATAAAACTCTATTAAGATTATTTCAAAAAAAAACAGGAAGCAGAAACCAATGGAAATTAGCCTACTTTCCTTCTTTATATTTATTCTAATATTTCATCACTAATAATGCATCATCCTGAATGACAGTTCATTTCTGGAAAAACAGCGTTTTGAGCACAGCTTCTAGACTAAAATGAACACGGAATGGATTACTGAATATAGTTCGTTCTTTAATAAATCTCTCTACTGAAATGAGCACGGTTTTAACTAAAAAGATTGTTTTAGGCAAAAATGTTATAAAAATCTGATAAGCAAGTCGTCAAATAATTATATGCATAACCTAGTGAATGTACTTTGAGACCAACTACTTGGGTAAGTAATATCCAGAGTTTCTGGAGTTTTATCCAAGTAAAAAAGGTACTTATCAAACAATTTAACAAATATAAGTACTAGATAACTACTTCATCATAACTTGGTAAGTACTTGCGAAATATATGCAAGTATCCGAAGTATTTGACACGTATTAAATCTAAAAATGCTTGACAAGTGTTTAACCAAGTACTTTAGAAAATTTGCAAGTAACGAAGTACTTGATTACAAGTACATTCTCTAGGGATATTCATTGTTTTACATATTGTATTGTCAATAGGTGTTTATCACGTTTATTGTATTTTTTCTACGTCACTATGAATGAGCAACATGACAATCGACTATTGATAGGGGTATGATGTAATCAGACACTATTTTATTATATAAGGAATATTTATTTCACTTGATTCATTATAAAAGACTGATGCAATAAGTGAAGTGATAGATAATTTTCCGCCTTCTCTCGAGGAAAACACGTAAAGGATTGTTCACATTACAAATAGAAATGTTTCCTGATTTTCCAGCCACTCTTTTAATATGAACGATGAAATCATAACTCATTTATCTTGGAGATCTATAAAATAATCTCTTTTATTAATAAAAATACAGTTTAATAATTTAAATGGTACGTTGATGATTTGTATTATTTATAGTAAATAAGAGATAACTACATCACATTAATGCCAATTTGTAGAATTGACAGAAATTCATTCTTCACTAAGCAACTCATTTCGGAACATTATTGTTTTTTTAAGTGTGAACAAAATACCTTCCGCTATTATACTACATAACAACACGTTGGTGTAGAATGAATATCACTTTACTAATAAAACTTTTGTTTTGTCATGTAAGCAATGCAGAATATAAAAACACCTTTAGTACATTAAAGCGTTCTTTTCAAAAAACTATATAACCACAACAGAAGCGTCAAATTAATCGACTTCAACAGTGATCAAAAATGTGATAAAATAGAAAAAGGTATGTAAAAAATATTTAATATTAAACCAAGCGGAAATAACCTAGACTATTCGAATGTTTGCTCGCTGCTGACTGTCATTGTTCTAATAAATGCCGCTGCTATAGCAGCAACAGTTCTTAACTGAGTGTAAAAAACACCAAGGTATTTTCTCTTTTACTTAAACCAACTACAGTGCCATACACTGACTCATTTCTACACGTCATTTAATAACAATAACTATTGTAATCACATGAGTCATACATTCATTCCTATATGAGATAAAGAAGGAATGAGAAACATTCTATTTGTCAGTTGAAACTCATAGGAGGCGTGTGTCCTTGTCAGCCATTGTCGTGGCATCTGTCATATTTTTTTTTTTTTGAAACTAATAACAACAAACATTCGTGCCTATGAAAAGTTTTTATTAAATATTTATATACAATATAGTTTTATGGATTATCAGCAGGTATATGTGAGTAATCTGGTAAAGGACGATAAGTGAAAGAAAAGACTTCAACGAGCGGATTTTGTGATTTTTTCTCTCATAAGCTTGTTATACTCTCAATTCTCAGATAAACAAATCATCCTTTGAAGGTACTCGTAATATTGAGATTTTTCAATTGTTTTTTATTAATTGTACTGTTCCGACGAGCAACAGTAGATATAATGAGAAGACTGACGATGTTTCTTTTTTGACTAGCCCCCACATTGATTTGTGTTCTGTTTATATTTATGAATCACGTATAAGTACAGCCAAGAGAACAAGTGACAACTTCTTTTTTGTTCTGATTAACGTTGTTATGTAAATTTGTTTATTACTTCCATCTACCTTCTGTTCTTATGCAATACAAAACTATTACGCAAGGGATTTATATGCTATGTATAAATACAACAGTTCGTTTTTACGTTTATAGATAGAGAGAGAGAGAGAAGAGGCGGCGATGAATAATATCTAGAACATATATCCTAGTGGATGCACTTGGGACCAAGTACTTAGCAAAGTACTTGGGTAAGGAATGTCTAGAGTTCCTGGAGTTTTATCCAAGTAAAAAAGGTACTTTCAAATAGTTTAACAAATATAAGTACTAGACAACTACTTCATCAAGTATTTGGTATGTAACTTGGTAAGGACTTGCGAAATATATGCAAGTATCCGAAGTTCTTCCAAAGTATTTGGCACGTATTAAATCTAAAAATGCTTGACAAGTGCTTAACCAAGTACTTCCGAAAATTTGCAAGTAGTTAAGTACTTGATCTCCAGTACATTCACTGGGGTAATGTGTAATCTAAAAGTGTCTATGAATGCTTTTTGAAAACATTATTTTCTTCAATTCTTATCTACATAATGAGATAAGAACTATAGTGAACATGAGATGCTAACCCTAGAATGATCTTCTAGAAGCGAGTTTCATGCTAAAAATATTTTTTCGTTGCTTTGAATTTTCGACAATTGAACTCTGAACAAATCTGTAACCTTCACTTGCAAGTTTAGTAATGTTTTTTTTTAAATTTAATTTTAGATTAAAAAAGATTCTTAATTCTTTTTTTGTTTAACGATTTAACTTTGAACAATTTATCCATCATTTATATGGCTTCATGTATTGTTGAAAGAAGTCCTTGCTATGATCATTTCTATTCACCAATGGCTGATATCATAAACGATAAAACGAGACCCATTCATTCACAATTCGAAAAAAAATTGTTAATTCGATCATCAACAACAACTTCGTGTATCGCTGATCTTAAAACAGAAAAACCGTCAACATTACTTCGATCGTCAGCATCATTTTGTCAAGAGAATAGAGGAGCAGTGAATGAAAACTGTTGTGAAACAGTGGAAGATACAATTAACGATGCCACTAAACAGTCAGCATTTGAGCTTTTTCAATTCTCAAGGAAACGACAATTAAGTGATAAAAACGAAATAAATGATTCAAAATATGTTAAAAACAAAAATGATTGGACAAGAGCAAAAGGTAAATTGATGCATTAGCTTGAATTGATTTAAAAATATAAAAAAATGTCAAACACACACTGTAACTGATCAAATTGTTGCACGTGATCTATCTTTCTACCTGTAAATCTAATGTAGATATGTGAATAAAAGATACCTCGAAATATAACAATATAGAAACCCCTCCTTTAACGTTTTCATCCTCTAACATTAATGTCAATAGACACATTTTTTTATTTTATTATCATATGTTTTCTTGTTTTAAATCTAGATGACAATGACACATCATATAAATCGTGTGACGAAAACAAGCAAGAAACAAAAAAAAAAAATTCGTCTCAATTTTTTCTGGGGGAGAATGTTGCGTTCGAGAAGCCCATACTGCGTAATTCATTTAGTCATACTGCAACGCAAGACCATTTTTGTATAAATAACGATCAGCAATTGCAGTTTACATCATTGTCAACATCATCAGCGACAGTTGCACAACGTCCACAATCATTACCTTTAACAACACCCATACTTTCTAACGAGATACCAACAATGCTATTGTGTGAACAACCTTCAACTTTGTCACCATTTTCATCAGTCGGTAGTCATTATCGAGCTCCAATTGAGCAATCAACTCCAAAAAAAGTCCAATCAAAAGATCAAGTAAAGTTTCTCACGTCCGTTCAACTTTCAAATTATCTAAAATCATCTATAGAATTTGCTCTTATTGATTGTGGTTCACCATTCCGACACACTGAAACACATATTAATAAGTCTATTTTGTTACATGTTGCTGATAAAATATCAAGAAAACGTTTGACGACACGTGGGCTATCCAAGTATCTTGATACAACACAAATGAAATTAATCGATGATAGTGAATTTATCGTGCTTTATGATGATAATGTAACTATAAGTAATATAAAAAATAGTTCATGTCCTAATCTAACGACGACCCAAAAAATATCATCAACACTCTTAAATATCACGGATGAACATCATCTATCGCTATCTTGCTCATCACTGATAGTGAATGACGAAGAGGAAGATATTATTTCTTCATCTCAATTAACTCCATCATTAAAATGTGTATACGATGAAATAAAACGTTATAATACATCAAAATCTGTTTTCATTTTGAATAAACCGTTTGATGAATTTTATCATGAATATTCTAATTTATGTAATGATCAACAAAATCTATCACTACCATCGTTATCAGAACAACAATTAAATCAACAACAACCATCACGTTCAGATATTGAAAATTGCTTACTAACTGAAATTATACCCGGCCTCTATCTTGGCAATGAAGCAGATGCCAAAAATTATGATTTATTAGAAAAAAACAACATTAAATCAATTATTAATGTGACCACATGTGTACCATGTTATTTTGAATCAGAACTCGACTATTTACGTTTACCATGTAATGATACAAGTGGACAAAATTTAACCGAGTATTTTAACGAAAATACATTTCAATTTATTAAAAATTCATTAGACAACAAGAAGAATGTGCTTATACATTGTAAAGCAGGTATATCACGATCACCGGCCATACTCATAGCCTATTTAATGAATTATCATCATTCAGAATTTCGAACAATGAATGACGCATACAATCATGTCAAACAAAAGCGTTCAATTGTATCACCAAATTTAAATTTTATGGGCCAATTGATTCAATTCGAAAAGAAACTCTTAACACCAACAATAACAAACGAATTGTAAAGTTATTCGTTCTTTGATATTAAATAAAATGAATGACATCCTTAGTCAAAGAAGAAAGAATGTCAGATGAAAATTAAAAGTCTGAGTGGGAGATGAAATACTCAATTTTTTATGGTTTTACTGTTCATTGTTCATGCATATTTATTCTTCACTGCCATGTGTTCTTTTACTATGAATGTGAAGCTGGTATACGGTCCATTACACATGAACTTTCATACGTTGATGTAATTTAATAGTAACATGTTTTATTTCTACTCAGTATTTATTTTCATATATTCATACGACTTTTATATACAAAAAGAGCAATGTTGAGTCAATTATTTGTTGCAATACAATGTTAATGTTATTTTATTGTTATTTATTAAATAAATATGGCTAAATCAATACTTTTCGGACGAGATACTTTGTAAATTATCGTCTCCAACTCGAAACACTATAAAATCAATGAGTTATCATGTTTATAAACACATCAAGACGAATCAAATTCAACGACACTTGACTTCGTCTGCTTAAATTTGTAAAATAACTCAAATCTTTTGACTTCTTTTCTCTTGTCAAAAAATAAAATAAAAGGGGACATGACATCACACGTATCGTTAGTAACGATGGTAATATGTTTTGTATTTTTATTTTCATTTCGTTTTTTAATACGTTAAACAAGAAAACAAGCAAACAAAAACCAATGTAGAAAAGAACAGAAAGAAGTAAAGTGCAAAGAGCAACAAAATCAAAAAGAAAAACAAACAAACGAAAAAAAAATCATAACCAGTTAGGTTGTTTTAAACACATACTCACGCACATACACGCGCACACCTAAACCCTCAAGAGAGAAGATTAAAAAACAGAGAGAAAGCAATATCACTATAATTTCGAATGAATATATTCGAAAAAACAACAAACAAAACATCATATTTCCTAATGTGAGACAAACAATGTGCAACATAGAAGAGGGAAAACAATGTTTCTAACGTCATACTGTTTTTCCAACGATCAGCTCACACACTTAATTATTCTCATACTGAAGGAGTTGTTTGTGCTACTACTGCTGCTGCTGTTGTATTTCTGTTACCACCACTACCACCTCCTCCTCGTCCACTTCTACTTTTTCTTGAATTTTGATTACGATAATAACCACCACCATTGATATTGTATTGTTCATCATAGCTTCCTTGCATCGGATATTGTGAATACTGGTGATTCTGATTATATGAATACGTTGTACTATACGATGGACGGAATGTATGAGGAAATGGGCGACGCTTTTTAGCTTCAACATTAATTTTTTTTGTTTTTTGAAGATTTTCTTTATCATCTAAAATTCTTTTCGCCGTCTCAATTGTATCACAAACAACAAATGCAAAATTTGAACTGCGTGGCTGACTACCCGTGTTACCAATACGACAACCAATTATTTGACCATATGTAGAAAAGTATTGACGAACCTAAAAATACAAAACCGTTCTTTTAGTAAAATGAAGAAACTAGTTGTATTGAGAGTATCTAAACAATTGATAACATACTTCCATCATTGTTTAAACATGTTTCTGAAATAAAATATATTTTTACCTCATCACTTGTGGCATGAAATGATAAATTTCCAACAAATATTTCCTGATCATCAGTGTGCCCATGTGGATAATATTCGAAATCTTCATTATAAGAATTTACCATTCGATTATTTTTATATGAACCATAATAATTGTTAGTATTGGTGTTATTATTTGATGTTTTAGTCGGTGGTTTTGTTGTTGATGTTGCTGATTGATTATTTTTTACATCTAATGAACTTTTTTGTTGTACAGGAGTCATTGGTAAAGATGATGGTTGTACAGCATCACGGTAGGATTTTGGTTGTTGTTTAACTGAAACAACTCTACTAGATTCTGATGTCTTTTCTTGTTGTTCCGTTTGGTTTTTTTCGTTCATGATCGTTCCCGTTGGAAACTGTTGTGTTTGACCACTTGGTGGTGGTGTCAAAATGTTTTTAGTTGTTGTTTGAGAAAATTCAGACCATTCTTGTTGTTGTTGAGCCTCAGGTTCTTTTGCGAAAAAATATTCGCTATCGTTTTCCTGATTTTGAGACCAAGAGCCATTATCGTTATTCGAAAAATTTTCGTATGATCGTTGTTGTTCATTATTTCTATTCTCCAATTTAGTCGATTCAGAATACTGTTGTGGTTGTCCGACAATTTCTTGTTTTTTTACCGGTTTTGTTGTCCCTAATGAAGAATCTGTTGTTGCTGTTGTTGTAGAAAATAAAAAATTAGGTGAAGAAGCAGAAGCAGAAGCATCAAAACCAGGTGGTATTAGACTATAATAATCAACCGGATATGTATCTAGAAAATAAAAATAAGTTTCAAAGCAATATATTTTAAAAAGCTTTGCTTCATACAAAGTAGTTTTTCTTACCTTGATCCTCTGGTAACAAACTAGTGGAATTCGCTGATGCAACTGTTGATGTTGCCGTCGACGTTGCCGGTAATACCACTGTTACTGCATCTTGTTGATTTGGATCTTGATATCGAAATATATCATTATGCACATAATATTTTATTTTTGACTGTGGTACAAGTACAAATGTTTGAACGAAACGTTTCATCTTTGTTTGTTCTTCCTGATTCGATGATGATATTTCTCCGCATACTTGTACAACCACACCCTGAAGAATTGTTGAATGACAATCAACTTGACGAATTTTAACATGACGATTTTTAAAATTTAATTCTTCGATACGCTGTTTAATATTATCAATACCAATGACAATCGATGATGATGAACTGTTATTGTTGTCACTATTACTTTTATTTAATATAGATTTTTTAATTTTTATATCGCCATTTCCACCGGTATTTTGTTCATCATCATGATCGACTTCGTGCATAAATGTACTAGTATCCGAATAAAAACGATGTAATAAATTTGGACATTCGTGCAATAAACGATAATACTGAATAACAAATGCACGGCCAATTTGCTGAGGACTTAATTTATCATCTGAAGATGATGTCATTACTACCATCGTATGAAAGAAAACCTATTAAGAAATAATATGGTTACATAGACGAAAAAGTGAAATGTATCAACATGTGTAGCAAAAGCTACAAAAGTTCAATGTTATAGAATACGGACTCAGACCTCCCATTAATCAATGAAGAGTTAAAAAGGCTAAAGAAGTTTTAAAAAATCAAATGTTTTGTGTTCACTCAAAGAATGTGAGATGGTTTCAGTCTCATATCAGAATCATGCTTACATAAATATTTATTAGGAAAATATTAATAGCTGGAGAAATAAAAAACGAATTTCGAAATTTAGTACAAAAAAGTAATATAATAAACGAACATTGATTAATATGAAAATAAAAAGTATCATCACCAGGCGAATGACTATTGAAAACATTTTGAGAGTTTGATTATCAAGCGAATTAAAAACAAACATACATCGTCTTGTTGTCACAACTAAATATAGACCATCGAAAAGAAAACGACTGTATAAATAGATAATAGTCAGTATGTTTTTTGTAAAATGGTTTAAGTTTCTTTGAATTTTGAGAAATTAACCGAAAAAATAAAATAATGAGTTTACAACATGAGACTAAAACATGCATGAACTTGTAAAGACTGAGACAATAATAGAAAGCGTGAATAAACTCATTCTCGCACAAACATCGTCTTTGCTACTATTACCCAATAACAAGTTCATTATGATGAAAATCTTTTTGACAGGAAATAAATGACATATTCACTGATTTATTTCAGCATACTAAAAGTTTTCATGGAAAAAAAAGTGATTGATTTAGAAAAAGTTTAGAAAGAATTTACTTGACATTTTTATTAATATCATCATAGATCGAAATCGGACCAATTCTCAGATTTTTCATATAGTTTTCTTTTTCATATGTTCGAATAAGCAGCCGGTACTACTGCTACATCTTTCAAGACTCTCATTGTATATTTTTTATATTGGCAGAAACAATGCGTTTTACTCCCGTTTTCATCACTAGAAAGAATAAAAAACGAAAATTTATCCTTGTTGAGCAATTTGAAAAAACCAACGTAACACGCTTAGTTAACCGTTGAAACAGCGTTCTTTTTACGATGAATAGACCACTTTTGAATGATCATCCCATACGCATTCATCCTCTCAGAGTCTCAGAGAAAATATAGATTATATTTTCAAATGAAAAGCGGATAATGGTATCACCCATTGATATGGTGATTACGCTGCCGTTACATAGAAGGTGACGAATCAAGAATTGAGTGTTGTAAAAGATCATTTTAGCAACACTCACACTGGTTATAGATTTTTAATTTCCTAATCTTGAAAGATTGCTAGTTTTAACTGGATGATAATGAACGTATTTATTGTATGTCCATCAGAATCCAATCGTCTTACTTTTCTGAATAAAAGTTTGTTCTGTAACTATCTAATGAAAGGATCACCTTGTAAATTAGTGGGCGCAGTCACCTGCTGCTTCCACTAATTTCATTTCTTCTTCTGCTATTATATTACCCCACACACTTCTGCTAGACGTTTGTTGATTTTGGCCGACTACTATAACAGACAATCGATATTTAACATTATATGAAAAACAGCAAAAAACATACTACCAACTATTTGAATGAATACGTTTGTTTTGTTCTGTTTTTAAGCTGGAATTGACGGTGATGAAGGAAAGAAATATCTTTTGTCTAAAATTAAAAAGGACCAAGTCATGACTTTTCATAATACATAAATTTGAGCATACCGTACCATGAAGCTCAATAAATGTTTTAAAAATCAACAGAAAACACTTTGGTTCTTGGAAAGATTTTCCAGAAACCTTTCGAAGTAACAGAATACTTTTTATCGATTTCAAGTACATAGTTAGATTGATCATGGTATTCTGAAGCAGTCTCGATCGATTTTGAGTGAATTATGAATTTTTTGATTTTCGATGAAAATAGCCAAACATGGACTATTTCATCTAATACAGGTTTCACTCGATTTTCGAATTTTGTTCCGAAAACAACCATTGCCACTAGGTTCAACGTAGTCGATAACCCAATTTGTTTTTAAAATTCTCCATGTCGAAATCACAAAAGCTAAGGCTCTCTAGTCATATGATAACGTTGATAGATGGAGATCTCGGCCTTTCGTGGATTTGTAGTCGAGAGGTTAGGCGTTCGAATCCCCCTATGGGAGTTGAAAAAATGTTTTTTTTTCTTGACTAAAGAATCTCTACTCTGCCAAGAGCGATGTGGTACACCATCTGCGACTGGTAGTTTTAACGGGCGTCACAACTACATCGATACAGTTAGGTCTTGGTTTTCCAACAGTAAAAATCGCACATTTTCAGCACGCTTCTACAAATCGTTATTCAAAAAATAGCCGTGCGCACTGTGTTATGAAACAGATAGTAGGATCGTATTGATTTCTAAAATAAATCAAATAAATTGTAAAGAGGTAGAAAACGACCACCACCTGACCCAAGAGAACGTCTCGGAGAAAAAGTTAGTAGATATTGTCAAACATACACCCTCACTGTTCAATATTCATATTAAAGCTCATCTTTTTTGCATTAAACACATTAACTTGTCTTTTTCCGCATGATAATCGACTTTTTCAAAACTAAACGTCAAGTACTTTTTATTTTATTATCAAACTTTCCCACAACTATTCCAAAGATGGAAAAGATTTATAATCAGGATACTTTTAGTGTTAGAACAGTGGTAATATTTTAAAAGTAAGAGCAGTTAACCGCCGCTTGAGCAGTTTTACATTTTTAGCCCCAAGTGGAGCTTCTCTGACAAAATTTGTTTCTAGATTAAAAATGTTCTCCTATACACAAAATCGAACATCAAGTAGAAATTTTAAAAAGGAAATCAAAAGAAGAGATAAAACAGACACAAAGATGAGTGACAGATAAAAATATTTCCAATAGAGTCTATTACAATCACTCGTCTAGTATCTTAATCACTGCCACCTCTTAGTGCTAATACCAAATGTAAAACGCAGCCAGCTGTGACAGCATAATCTTGGACAGTTTTCTCATCATTCATTTGTTTACCAGAAAAAATTAAACGTTGTTGAGGGGGAGGAATGCCTTCAAGCAAATAGAAACAAAATAGGGATAGCATAAGGCAAATATTTATGTACTGACCTTCTTTTTCTTCGACACGTTCTTTTATTCGTTCAATTTTATCTTGCGGTTCAACATCGACTTCAATTTCTTTACCAGTTAACGTTTTAACTTTGATCAACATTTTCTAACTTTTTAATAAGGTAACTGGAAGTAAAGAAAGAGGAAATGTTTACTTTCTCTGAAAGGAACCAAAAGTAACTTTATAATATGTATCAAATAAGTCAGTATCCTAAAACTAGAAAGTCCATATATAAATAAATGACGCAGCATATATAACACATAATATGAAAAGTAGCTTAGATAAATATGGGACTCAAAAAGGGATATCGAAATATCGTAGTCAAGCTAGCTTCAGTCACCAATATTGTTTTTAAAAATTTCTACCAGAAATATAAACGTTCCCTTCCTAAATGTGAATCATCAAACGTTTATCCGGTGCTTTTTTTGTTTTTATTCTTTTGTTCTTGTATAACAACTGTATTTGAAGATAACAAATAAGTATTTGTTTACTTGCAAAACTAAAGGTAATACAGTTGAAAAGAAGAGAATAAATGACCACGAAAATAAAAGCAAAAATCGGGACATCTGATGAAAAGATCGCATTCTTTTGTTTTTCACCCTGAGTAAATTTTAGAAAAATTATTGCTTCAGCTCCGTTCCGTTTCAGATCATTCGGGTTTTGTCCGATTGAGTTCAAAATTTTTGAAAATAACAGAATGGTTCGATTCGATCCGAGAAAATTTCGCTTCGGTTTCAAAAAAACATGAACCCATCCGGTCTCTGATGTCTAGCCAACCGCAAACTTGGGACGTTCCAGTCGATAAAACATATAAAATATGTGGGATAACAGTATATATGCGTTCTTCTACCTGAAGACTACATAAATGAAACCTAACCAGAAATAAGAATCTACATGTCTGTCGAGTGCTGGATAAGGAGAAAAAACTTACTTCGAAGAAATTTTGGGAATATTGAACTTATACTAGCTCATTCTGAGCCGACAAAACCTCATCATTCCAATTATTTTCGGGAATATTTTCTGGACTTTTTTAGTTTTATTGGGAGAAATCCGCAGAAGTCCATAGCCGGAACAGAAATGGTCAAGCAAGTATTAAACTTCTGACAAATCATGGTGAGCTACAATAATGTTGGAACGTCTCATATTATTATTGTAGTTTAACCTTGAAAGTCGACCGAAGGATTAGCCAATCAGAATACGATAAAATAATGTAACTTAATATTTTTCACTTAAAATATAACGTTTAAATCGAAGCAATATGGTTATAAGCGTTTACATGCGACATCTGTCCAATTAAAAGATTTCCGCTTTTTAAAACTCACATAAACAAATTAAAATGATTTAAAAAAGATTTCACCGTTCTATGACAATCATTTGAAATCTTTCAAATCAAAGTAAAAGACGGGTGCAGTTATGGTACAAACGCCTTTGAAAAAGTTTTTGATCTTTTCACCTTCCACGATAATATCATTATTTGTAATTTATCGCTTTGATGTAATTATTTAATTTCAAACAAAGAAATTATTGATAAAGTAAAAAAGACGTCGCTGGTAGTCATTAACATATTTTCTTGTTATGCTATTAGATAAATAGAGTGCAATAAAAAGCGCTTTAACATCTTCTAATTGGTTGATTCGTTATTTTTTTGTAATGATAATCTACCAGAAAACTTTATGAGAAAAAATAAGATATATTTTATAGATTATGTTAACTCAAAACAATAACGATGAAATGCTTCTAACTACGTCCAAGATTCAAATTTCATACTATTGAATAAAATTTACTGAATTCTTAACTCTATGAAGTTCATTTGCGGCTGTCTCATCTGATGATTAAGAATAAACAGAAAAAAAGTTTTTATCAGAAGTCACACTCGAAAAACAAATTCTCTCAGTTTATTGCACTAAGCCGTTTCTTGACCATCTCTTCTAAGAAGCATGCTTCAAACCAATCTGAAAAATTTTAGAACGCGTGTGTTCGTGATGATAGGAAAACAGCGCTGATAGTTAGTATAAAGAATATTCTTTTAAATCATATTTCCATTCGTTTAATTTACTAATCAATATGACATTATTCAGTCATCCAGTTGTTGTTTTAATTTGCTTCAATAATTGCGTGAGAGAAACAATAGACGCAAGAATTAAAAAAACTTTTGAAAGTGGAACAGAAAAATTGATTTACAGATAGATTCATCATATAGAATAATTTAAAACTTAGAATACACTGATTGCAGTTTATGGAAAGTTTGGCAAGGAAACCTATACTAAAAAGTTATCTCTGATAGAATGAGATCCCGTAATGTATGATAAATAGACGTTCGTTAATTTTTTTGCTTAGTTATATTATATATTTCTCTCTCTTTAGACGAAAATGACTGACGTGTTTCTGTTTAGATGTATTGATGAAAATAACATGTAATTAAAACTTCTGAATTATATTAAAAAAGAAGCTAAAAGCCAACATAAATGCGGATTCTGGTGTATATTCAAGCAGTTCAAGCTATTAGTAGTTTTCAATAGTTAAACAATGATAGACTGATTTATCCAGATACAGTACGAATGAAAATCGTACTGTAGTTAAACATGCTTAATTATAAGGTATTCGCAATATGGTGAAATTTTATCTACTGAAAGTATTTAACTTAAGTAGAGAGTGAGGTGTAGTTGTCTGTAATACATTAATGAAAGATTACAATATTGGTCTGCTGTCGGACAAAACAAATAAGTTCTATGACCAAATGATGATGAGCGTTAGAAAGACAACCATCAACGTGACTGGATGGACGCGTACGCCGCTGTCGTTGGAGAAACAACGAGAAATTCATCATAAATATTGAAACCATCCGATATCAAAACTTTACCATTCAATTCATTGAGAAACATGTATTCCAAATGCAGCGGTATCTGATCGGCCGTATATGTTTAAACAAATTGATAAAAAAAAAACTAATATTACCCAAATCAACGGAATGATGATGGACTTGTTTGAGGATCACACAAATTTTTAAAGTTATGCGAGCAAATGAAAAGAGGCTTGTATTAGTGTACAAAGATATTTTTAAGAACTCATCGTGACTACAACAACGAGGACAATTTCTTTTTTTGTCAATCACTAACTATTGGATGAAATTTAAGAACTTGTGTAGACTACTAAAGTTCAAAAATTGATGTCTATCATTCAACGAAGAGAAATAAAAATACGAGATTGGACAAAACGTGCTATTTTTGTATAAATAGAACCTGTCTCTAATTTTTATTAATAAGATTTTTTTCTTTTTGTGAATTTGTAATGGAACTTACTATATTTTGCGTTATTTTGTTCGACATAATTGTTCTGTTATTATCTCCTCCGATCAAAGGTGAAACTTGTTGAGAAAAGTTGATGACTATAACTTCAGAGCACTGAGCTTGTCGTTCTTTACGTCTTTTTCTCTAGGAGACGAATCGATTAAACTGCTTGTCTTCTAGTTCAATAAGAGATAAATTCTATTGCTTGAGCTACTCTGCAAAATCGATGTATACTCGAGATAGATGTAGCTAAATTCGAGCTATTATTGACGAAGAAAAAGTACGTGTGTATACTAGACCTAACTATACAAGAGAAAGATGAGTTTTTAGATGACTAAAAAGCTTGTCACTGAATATAATAACTAAGTACCTTTGTAAAAGCTTTCTTTACACAATGTTTTCTGTAGAATCGTGCACTCATTTTTCTTTACGTTAAAAATGGTATTTATCGGAACATTTTAAAGTTTTTAGAAGAATGGAACTTATTTAATGACTTTTTAATGTGGTATGAATATTGATATTTCTTTGTGAAAGGTAAGATAATTAGTAATTCTTTTTCTTTTCCAAGTGGCAACGTGTTTACATAACAATTAACGTAATGCTTGTCTGTAACCACTATAACATATATATTTCATATTCGGTCAAATTAACAAAAATATTAGTAATAAATAGGAATGTGATGTAATCCTTGTAGTTTGGATATGGTGTATCCCTCACACATACATACGTACACATTTCTTGTCTTTAATCTTACGATGCTGTCGACTATATGTGTGTGTGTGTATTGATTACCTTGATTAAAAGCAAAAAAATGTTTCTTTTTTTCTTCTCTCTCTCTTTCTCTCTCTCTGTCTCTCTTTCTGTTTGATATAATCTATACGAACACTCGGACTTGTCGGAATATGTATATAATATACATGTATATGTAGAGTTGACATTCTGGAAAAAAGGAAAAAAGGTTGATGAGATTTTTGTTCTATATACATACAAAATGGGAAAATCATAGGCGTACATTAGTATATACATGTTCTCTTTGGTTGAACAATAGCTTAATTTTTATGTGTTCATTGTAAGGCACTTGTTTCGTTAAGAATGTCAACGACAAACGACAATTATTGTCTAACATCGTCCTCTTCATCCTCGTCTTCCACAACTACAACACCAAGTGGATTATTAAGATCAGAATCCAGACATTTAACAGCATCATCATCTCATGGTATTCGTAAGTATTTTCAAAAATGCTTCTAACTACTTAAACAATAGTTTTTCTCTCTAGCTGATGTATTAGGAAATGAACAAATTGATTTGAATCGGTTGAAAAAAACTGCGTCACTCAATCATACAAATATTCCCAAAACTCCACGAATACATCGTACGCTGTCAACATTGGATAGTGTTTTAAATGTCTTAGAGTAGGTTAATTATTACCAATAAGCTTAAATGCGCTCGATCATGAGTATTATTCGTTGTAGTTGGGAGTATTCATTTTATCATATTTTTGTTTTGTCAGCTGACTTTTGTCTGAAACTATTCATGTTTAAATAATTGTTCTATTATTTAGAGAACATGGGAGAACATCTAAAATCGAAATCGATAATCTTGTGGAAGAAGTAGAGAAAGGTCAACATCATTTAACTCGAGTATGTGTAATCGTTTTTTAAAGAATTGATTAATATTGAAAGTAATATTTTCTCTAGAAATTACATGAATCACAAACTCAATATCTTAAATTGCAAGCTCATACGGCTAGTATTCAAAGTTTGAAAGAATGTTATTGTCGATATGTGAAACTATTGGATGGTGCACGAACAATGTTTAATGCTTATCAAAATTCAAAGAAGCCAATATCGTTAGTATCAACAACTTCGCAAGTAAAATTAGGTTTAAAAGAGTGCACTCAAGTATGTATTTAGATTGTATGTCTTATTCTTCTCCTCTAAATTAATGTTTTTGTTTAAAGACGTTATGTGCAATTGAAGCACAATTGGAATCGATGCTTGGCACATTTGTATTAAAATTAAATGAAATTACTGGTTTTTCTCGAATATGCGTCGGTGATGAATATGAAATCATTCTACGTTATGGTCAACAAAAACATAAAACAAGAGGAAAAATACAGCGTGATAAAACGCAGACGTGGAGTAAAAATCTATTTTCTTTGAAAGCAAAATTAGCTGATTTGTTATTTATTAAAGTTAGTGAAATCAAACTATTGGGTACATTGCATACAGTCGGAATTAAGTGTTTTGAAGTAAATAATTTGTATTCGATCAATCAACAACGAATGGTTGTCAATGCCAATCAAGCGGCAACAATCAAGTTACAATTTGTTGTCTTTTGGGAGTAAGTTAAGATTTTATTGTGATTGTTAGTATTGCTTATATAAGCCATTTCTTTTAGTATGTACCATCAGGTTGATACTAAATTTACTTATTATAATCCAAATCGCTCTTATTCTGATGTTACACGCACGTGGTCAATGTTTATTGGTAATAGCACATTATTACGTACAGTTAACGATACATTATCGAATCGTCCAGTACCTTCCAGTCTATTCAGTTCGCCTTCATCATCGCCATCATTATTGATTGCAAAACGTGTATCATCATTTTGGCCAGTTGAAAATGATCTGTTTCAAATGGAATTGAAACAGCGTTTACAAACACAAAATGAGACAACAAAATTGCCAGTATATGCTGAATGTTCAAATGAAGAATCTCTTTCAGCTGACGCAGAAGCTGTTTATGATGAAATCGATTCATTGGCTAAAAAACAGCATGATAATACTCACATGCAATTAGAAGAGACTATTGAAAAGAAAGTGGACGATCTACAGTGTTCACCTGATGTACCGACTACAACCACAATAATATCGAATAGCAACAAATCAACTTTAGAAGAAAATAAACAATCGGAAGAATTTGTTGATATGAGAATATCAATAATACCAAGTGAAAATGATGAAAATCATCAATTACGTTCAGAAGAAGCAATAAACAATAAAATACCAGCATTATTAATCGAAGAACCATCGACACCAACAAATGTTGAAGAAGACAAAAATAATATAAATACACAAGAAGATGAAGAAGCAATAGAGCATAATACAGAGGTAAGCAAGTACAAAAATGGTACTGATATCCTCTAGTTATGATTTTCAATCTTTTTTAGAGTGACTTCCACGATGAAATTCATGATCGATCACGTTCTTTATCGTTAGGCATCGATTCATTAGACGGTGATAATAGTGTTTATGAATTAGAAATGTTGATTCAACAGATTAAAACATGTTTAGATGATATAAGATTAGAAAATGAACAAATTGTTTTTGATCAATTAGATGAAAATATGTGTGATTTAGATTCAACAATAAAACATTCTATACATGAACAAACAGAACGAAATTTAGAAATTGAAGATGTCATGGAAAGTTTTGAATTTTTAAATGAAATATCTGAAGAAGTAGAAGAACAGCAATATCAAACAAATATTACTGAACACGAAGAAGAATCAAAACAGCAAGCAATTGGTGTTACTATTGACGATGGTGCAATATCAGATCATTCTGATTTTGGTCAGAAAACAATTGATTCGGGTTTCGTTGAGTCATCAAGACCTTATACTCCGGCATCAGCTATAAGTGCAACGACGACAAATGAATCGATCAATGTAGTTATTGTTGAATTATTAGGAATTGTTTTAAAATTATTATACGTAAGACTGTCGAACGTTATTTGATCTCGTTTTTTCATCAATTTTATTCTCAATTTTTTAGTATATACAAAATCGACTGAATATTTTGAGAGATTCTGAAAATTTAACAGTTATAAAAAAATTACTGGAACAAATTGCACAATTAAAAGTAGCTTTATTATGGTGTAAAAATGAAGTTCGAGATGTTAAACAAGGTAAGCAAAATCGTTATCACTTTGAACATATCACCGATGTGATTTATTCTTAGTTAATATCATCAAAATTTGAACTTTTTTTTATCAAATGAACTATCAGTCTAACTTATAAGCTATTTCTTGTTTTGAAATTTTTTTAATACATAGATAGGATTAACTGTTTGGTCTTAGTTCTTAGTTTTAGTTTTAGTGTCCATTTTCTGACTTGTTCACCTTTCTATTTCGAATCAGTTTTTGAATGATCTATATCTATTATTCTAGAGGAGAGAAACAAAAGTAACGAGAGATGATTCTCATTCCTATGCATGATACATGATTTCGATGAAAGAAATCAGATATTATCGTTCTATTTTTCTACTTGACTCCATATTCGAAATTGACGACGATAAAAAGTCTTTTCATTCTAGACGCTAAACGTCATTTTCATACTAAAATTTATCTGTCTCATCGGCAAAAAAAAAAAAATGTATTCTGTCAGAATTTCCACATAAAAACTGAATTTTATATTTTATTTTAGCATTAACATTATCAAAATGTTTACATATAGATGAAATTATTGATTTTTGGAATCTATGTATTTTGGATCATAGTAACAATTTTTATTCATCATATGATCGTTGTATATCTCAGTTAACAAATTATATCAAAGAATTTGATTGTGTTAAATCGAGTTATCCGGATGATGATCAATCTTCATTGACAGGTAACTGTTTCACTTTTGAAATTATTATATAGTTGTAATTTCTTGTAACTTTTTTTTTTGTAGCTCTTAGTGAACATATACTCTCAAATCTTTGTTGTTTACCGTATATATTTATTCGCCCAAAACATGTCTCGCTCTTACAAATCTTATTTTTATTTAATGATAAACAAATGTTCGAACAAAATTTAAAACTCTCTATTGAACAAGGTAAGTAGTCTCATTTTATTTCATCAATATTACATGATACTATTTATTTCAGTTAATTTTGCCAAAAATATTGTTAATATGATTGCGAATAATGATTATAAAAATCTTGCAATGATGTTAAATAGAAATACATTAAATAACATCCAACTTATCGATCAGATAATAACAGAGATGAATTATAAGATCCCAGGTATGTTTGACAAATGAATAAATGGAATACCAGATGAATACTTTTTACTATATTCTTTTTTAGATGAATTTATAAATGAACTATCAACAGAAATTCGTCTAGAATTAATTAATCAATTAAAATCATTATTAAACAAAAGTGGACCGTCCGTTCGTTTGGCTATACATAAAACAATTCTTCGTGTTCAACAGGCATGTATAGATTAATAAATAATATTTTTATTAATATGATCCTATTTTCATTTAGATTGGACTTGCAAACTCATAATAGAATTATTAGAGACACATTCGAGTAAGTATTTCAAGAGAGTATACATATTTCTATCATAGCAAGTTTAATAGAAAATATTAATCTAATAAAAGAAACTTTTCAAGTGTTACCGCGATTGAGAGTGCAAAGCAAATCGAGTTACATATGTGTATAAGTTATTCAAACTGAAAAACAAGTTTTAACACGAATATACGACCTTTGAGATACGAAATGTGTTAAAAATCAGAATATCCATTGAACTAGCAAATAAAATACCTACTTCTTTGTAAAAACTTTTTTGTAAGTTTGAATAACATAATAAATTTATTTTATAACCGATTTTTAACTTGTAGAAGAATCTCAAACTCGAACTGATTCTTCCTACATGTGCAGCCTTTGCGAGACAATCTTACCATAACTTTTTTCTCTATTGAATTTGAAAAATATATATGTCGAACATAACTAAAACAATTTTGTAAAACCTAAATTTACTTCGTGAGGACAAAAGAGTTTTTGAATATCAAAATTTTTGCGAACATGTGTAACTCTCAACCTACTTTACACTCTGACATTAACAGAATTCGTTCAAATGAAATTGTTGATAATTTCAAGAGATCTCGAATTTGAATCGAGATTTAGAAAGACTGTATGGAAGTGAAAGGATATCAGCTTTGTGATCAGGAATAAAAATTATTTATTATCAAGTATATCTCAAGGAGAAAACGAGCTAACACTTGAAAGCTTCTCTCGTGGAATGAGAATAAGCTCGTTTTAATCTGTATAAATATTTTTATTAATTAGAAAATTTACAATTCAATTATGCGTTTTGTTGTCTATTATAGTTTGAAAATCAATGAATGAAAGAAGTAGAACATATGTCTAATAAATCAAGATACATTTTCTTTTTTGAAACGATATTTTATTTTGTTTTTGTACCTCACTATGTACATTGAATAATTTAACTCCACTGTATTTTTGTTTCTCTATTTGCTTGTCTTCATGAAATTTCCTTGATTGTTTTTAGTTTTTCGAATTAAGTGGTGTTACAGTGAGAACCGGTTGTTGTTAATAGACAAGCGATGTGCACACATAACAATAAATGCTCTATTAGCTAGAAAATTTAAATTGAAATATGTGTATTTGTTTTGTCTTTCTTTCGAAACTAGAACAGTGTACTTTTTTTTTTCTGTCTCTCTCTATAGATGTATAAATGTTATTTTCTTACGTATTTTGTGTATGAGATCACTTATGGGTTGACTATTCATTTCATTAATATTTTTATTGTTCATCAGCATAAATTGCTTGGATAATAGACGATTTTGGGGATATTCATTACTTATCGTATTAATAATTTTTTGTCGTACTTTTTTTTCTTTTTCTTTTTCTCTTTACGCAATGTGCATTATATTATATTGTTCAGATGTTTTGTCTATATTGAAAAAATTAAATGAAATTACACTAAAGAAATAGATTTTTTATATCTTCATTCAATCTAAATCAACGCATTATTTTTTAATAGATCAAATATAGATCGTTTTAATATTAAATGATCGGCTGGGTTCGTAATGCTTCTCTTTTCCTCTTTAATCCAAGACCTCTCCTCTTTCTGTTTTTTTCTCTTTTTCTGGGATTTTTTAGCGAAAATACCAGAAAAAATAAATAAGAAGAATGTTCAATAGAGAGAATTTGTTTTTAGATTAGTTTAACAGTTAGCGATGCTAGTTGAACAAGCAGATATGTTTCTGTGTTAAACTAGAATAACTGTGTTTTTCTTAGTTTTTTACTCGTGAAATACGGAAAAAAATACTTTAAGTAGGATAAAATCTTTTCTTTGAGAGCCTTAAGCCATTCTGACGTGTACACAACATTGTCAGTACCGGTTTTGGGCCAAAAGAATGCCTACACTTTTCCTCTTTTTTACCCAACGCTCCTCTTAAAAAGTTGTTAACATTCCTCTTTTTTCTGAAAGTACCGTTACGAAAGCAGATGATCAGCTTGCAACATACAGAAAGTGTAGAGATTACTGTGAGAATTTTATCTCTAGATGGGTCACAATAATCGAAAACTTGCGCAGAAAGTTACATCAAAACATCAAAAGAAACCAAAAACTGTTAAAACAAATTTAAAACGTGTAAGCTCTTCTTTGATTAGATTTGTCATATTATAGAATAGGTTTTTTCTTTTTTATTTATTTCTTTTTTCCAGTTAAATGAACATGTTCGAGATAAAGTTGATCAATTGGATAAAACCTTGACAAGTAGTGACAATAGTAAAACGTCTCTCAATGTTGATAAATCAACAATAAATGTAACAAATCCACTTAGAGAAGTAGGAAAAATAGATCTATTTTAAGATTATATACCTCGTTCTTTTTGCATTCATATAATTCTTTGTTTAGAAATTACAACGTGATTGTGAAAAACAAACAATGTCAATAGACGTATCGACATTAGTAAGCGATACAACTGATAAGTTAGCTACAATGCAATGATTTATTTTTTTTGTTGTTCTCCATCATTTATTACAAAAGAAATTAAATAAAAAATTAAATCCTTTTATATCAAAAAACGAATAATAATTTTGAGTGAAGTACGTTAAAATAATTATTGTTTTGATGTACCGTTCTATGACACGAGTCTTATTTATTTACAAAAAGAAAAATATATAGAAAAAATATAAATATAAAAGTAAATCTTTTGGACGGATGCAGTCTCTTTTTTCTCTAAATAGTCTGTTTTTATCCGATGTGAACACTACAATATGTTGGTATTTTCGCTTTAATAATCGGTAAAACATCCTAAACATATGAAATTAACGTAAATAAATAATAATTGTTAGGCATTTGGATACACTTACTTTTCCACCATTTTCTTCGAATATATTTAGTGCATTTGCGACAAAATCTCGGTGCTTTCCTTTTGACATTCGTTTTGCTAACTGTAAACAAATTAGTCATTAAGTTTTATTGATACTTACTTTTAATAAAAAACCTGTACTTACAATGCTTAGATATGTTTTCAAATGTTTATCTAACTCACTGCCCACAATTGTACTCAACTGTGTTAATGCGTTCAATGCCGCTTCAAATAGCTCATCTTCACTACTGTTCAACGCTAATTTAATTGGATTAATTAAGCGTGTTAACAATGGTAATACCTTTTGTTTTGCATTGATTGTAGCTAATAATTCTTGAAAACCTTGACGTGATATAAATGTTAACGGAAAATCTATCTCTCTCAAACCTTCGGCTAATAAAATAAGAACTGGATCGTAATTTAAATCTTCGATTTGTGTATTCCATGCGAGACGATTTTTAACCGAGCCGTGTATGAGACGACATGGAATACGACCAGATGCAAATGCATCGGCAAATGGTGAACGTTGTTTTGTTGTATTTGTGGAAAATACATCAATCGTTTTTGGACATAATTTATCAGACGGTTTTGACAATCTCGTTGAATTAGAAGGCGATGATTGTGTTATTTGAGCACGAGAAGCACTTGCTACTCGTCGAATAGCAGTTGGAGGAGCTCTTGCCGATGACATCTAGAAAGAAATATTATTTGAATGAATACACAACACAGTAAAACTTGACATCGGAAAAATGAGTGACCATGCCATCCACTCTTATAAGTGGTACTATTTACAACAGTGGATGACTAGAAACCCAACAACAGTTTCTATCTCCTAAAGTGGGTGATAAAAACAAGGAAAATCATTCACTATTCTAGATGTATAATACAGAAAAGTGGATGGCATGGCTATTCACTTTTCCGATGTCAAGTGTTACAGTGAACGCTAAGCAAAAGAATGTTCAGATTTTTAAATATTCGATACGTTGAAAGAAGTTATCTGTCAATAACTCCTGCCAAAAATGGTCGCCGATTCTCAGAGAAAAGTAAAAAGATTGGATCTGAATAAATTGATCAATCAGTTTCTTCGACGAGATGTCGTCTATATCTGACTGAAGAAACCGAACATGCAAATTTATATTGAAGTGTACTCAGAGGTGGCATATAAGTTTCATAAACAGACGGATAAACAACATGAGCCGTAAGTTAGTATAGGATAGGCATAAGATTTATAGATCTTATCAACATCCGATGTATAAAAAATATTCTTATGTCGATGATACGTTAAAAATAGAATGTTGTTTCAATTGTTGTTAATGTATGCTATGTGTTTCTCCAATCTAATATACGAGTCAAAAATGTAATTCTACTTCTAAAAGATGTAGCAGATTAATGATTATTGGATGCAGCGAAATATCAGTGGCGTTTCTACTGAAAGTCATACTTTGACATTTTTTAATATTTAAACGGAATTGTCAAAAAATCAGACCACTCATATATTAATTGAAGAACAACGTTTAATGCGTTAGTAACTGTTGTCAATGATTCATGCGTGGTATGAAGTATTACATCATCGGTAAATAATCTACATGTGGATTCAACGTCAATAACAACAGCATCGATAAAAATCAAAAAGAATATATTGCAGACAGTAGAAAGTAATTAGGAATTTTTTCATTAACGACTGGATGAAAAGAAAACGCGAGTTTATGGGGCGAATCCGAAGGAAATCCTGACCTCAAATATCGTACGTGCCAAGTTGGTGGTCTGGATTCGTTAACGAAATCAGCAGATTCTATTTAGGTGGAAGAAAATATGGAAATCGACTCTGATTTTTCATAAATACTCAAAGTTTTAAATCGAGTTCATGTTCCCAAATTCATATCGCTCAGAAAACGGCGGCGCTGTTTTAGTTTTCTATTTTGAGACGTTGTTTAAATAGAAAAAATTCATTTAATTTTATTTAACAGCACTACTTTGTTTTATTTCCAATTTGAAGAAAACATCTTTTATTTGAACAAATTCTAAGTTTCTTTACATAAAAAATTTATGATATGATGTCTAAAAGATTAGGCGTTCAAAAAAGGTTCAATACACGATCGAAGAGAAGATGTGATACCAATGATGCACCTTTAAACGATTAACTTGTTATCGAACTCTTCCGTATTCGCCAAGTGGTTCAATTGTTTGATTTTCAATATTTTCAACTACAATAATGTCATGTCTATAATCTCCTGTTGGTTCGATCATTTCGTCGTCTGCTATAATTACAGGTATATCTAATTTTGCTAAATGTATTTGTTGACCAGCACATTTGTTGGAATATTCATTTAATAAATGAAATGATTTTGAATCATAAATACATTGTAATAACACATCACTAACAAATTTTTTCGGCCCAAATGGTGTTAATATATACATCTTCCGATCATTCTTATGTAAATGTACTTCACCGCTACAACATATGTGCTCTAAAAAACAACCAACATCATAACAATTTTGAATGTGGTAACAGGCAAATGCAGTACGAATTGGAGTACTAGACTTCGGTGGTACAACTGCGTGAGCTAACTCATGAAGTAATACTAAACTGTCAAATATAGTTGTTCCTGTATTATTTTCACCTTCTAGTAATCATGTGTTTAATACAATTGTTACATGACAATGGTTTTGCGCACGAATTGTAAAACCATATTCATTTTGAACACATTCTTTTCGATTGTTTATTACTATATCATTGGTTGCATTAAATTTATCATATAAAATGACGTCAATAGTTTTTATCGTATTAATTAAAGTTAAAATTTGGTAATCGTCAACAGAAGATGCCATACAATTAATAACATCTAGTGGATCAAATATTGGATGGCACTCATCTGATATTTTATCATACGCATGGGTAGCTATATTTGTTAAAACAGTCAAAAGATTTTTATTATCTTGAAGAACAAATGATGTAAATTTTTTAATATTCGCAAATGTATCAAATAAATATTCTTCTTTTGGGCTGTTTTCTGGGTAAACTTTAAAAAAATATGCATAACCTTAAAAATTTTAATTAAAATGTGAAATTTAGAAAAAGGTGATTTTTAGGGCTTTCAGAAATCTCTTTCAAAATCTTCCAAAAAGATTGAATTTTTGGCAAACTAGGATGGATTCTGAAAGATGACACTTTGGGATACTGAACCGTATGGTTACTCAGTTTCGAAGATTTCGAAGAAAACATCGAATTCCTGAGGGAGGCCCTTAATTCCATCAAGAAAAAAAATAAGCAGAATAACAGAAATCTTTGTCTGTATTATGCGTTTTTATTTTGATGCAGCATGTTTCTTAAGAAGTTTTTTGGTTTTAAAAATGACAATAAACTCACCTTAGAAAAAAAATAATTGTGTCAAGAGATACATCCTTCAGTGCAATGACACTAATTTTCTTAGACTCGTCAAGAAAATAATATTTAAAACAAACGAGTTTAAATGTACCTGCTAAAAACATATCAACTTTTTAGTTAGACATAACACATAATAGAATTACCCAGAATCCTTTCTTTTTTTTTCAAAAAGAGTGCTCCATCATACTTCTCCTCTTGATATTTTTTTGACTGGATGTTATCATACATAAGATGGATCTTTTTGTTTTCTGAATCGTCTGAGTTCATCGCTGAACCAAGGTGTGTCACCACTTTTTATAGTAGCTGTTTTTTGAGTAAACGATGTTGATGTTAATATTTGGATAGTTTCGGTAATTTTATTTTAATTATTATTATCAATAGAAACGGAATATCATACGTGAGCAAATCGCGATTTTTGTCAACATGATATCTAAAATAATTCCAATCTACGCATTTATAACTATAAATTGTTCGCATAAAACTGGTATCAATAAGATTTAGGATTTGATGATCCCCTGATTGACATAGTGGCGGAAGGACAGAGCATGATCTGACTAGTGTTAAGTTAGTAGTTGCCATTAAATCAAGACATGTATTTGATGCTAGTCATGCAGGCTCACGCGCGAGTTGAAGTAAAATCATAGACTTAAAACAATCATTGATGTTTTCACCTTCCATAGTCGTTTTTTTGTCACTGTACCATTTTGAACAATGGGCACTGAAAGCACCAGTGGTAATTATGGCATCGTAGACAGTAGTAGATAAGCATATTGTGATTGATATCTCTCGAGGTAAGAGATGAAGTCGTTTAATTCTTGTACTCAGGATTATAGGGTGAATAGCAAAACTCGATTAGAACTTTCAGAGAATCTCTCGAAGATCCGTTATTAGAAAAGATTTTCCAAAACTTTTTGCATAGATCGATAGAAAAATGTTTGGACTGTCAATCTACCGTTTCAGATTTTTGATATTGTGAAAAATACAAAAATTATGAGTATTTTATAAAAAAATGGAAATATTCAGTTGCTATTCGCCCCTGACTACTCTATATAAAATGATTTGAAATCCCAGCAGCATTATTTCGCAATGATCATTTTCGATATGATTTAAGGAGAGTTCTCTCATTTAGATTTTCCTCAAACGTTCCCAGTTTGTGAAGGATACTTCGAAGCACATGTCCTGAAGTTTACTCAGGTTACTTACATTAATTAGCTGAGAAAAAAATTCATTACTTAAAAAAATGTTGTTAAATTTATTTATTGACCACGGAGTTATTGGTAAAAATTTCCTATCTATTCTCCATTCATCATAAAACTTGGTTCTTGCCTAGATCAACAGAGAATTGTGTGGAGAACATTTACTACGAGAATATATGTAAACATTTTTGCTCTTTCCTTTCTGTTATTGACTAATTCCTACTAACTAACATTAATTTAGCCTACTCTACTAGTTTAAAGTCTCATTTGTAAAATGACCACTCAACGAAAAAATTCAAGCAATACGTCACCTGATAGAGAATTTCACGAGCTACAAGATGGACTACCTTAAAAGTTTTTGAATTCATTTTTGGCCGTTCGGTAAGTCTGGTAAGACGAAAATTTAACAACTTTTTTTTCAGTAATTAATTTTTTCTCAGTCAGATAATGTCAGTAAGTCGATAAAACTTCAGAACATATGAGTCGTTTACAACTTTATTGTACAATTGGTGAAAAATAATGAAAGTGACTTTAAACAGAATTTGATTAGCACATCTTGTTCTTCGTTGTTTTCTGAGTCTAGAACCCAAATTTCCTGACTACCACATGAGTAGCGACTGAGATAAACCTCAACAAACTTCGGCAGGTTCCGTTCTCTAGGTTTTAGGCTATAATGATCTTGAGGTTGCTTTAAAAGCGGATATATCATACACCATTCGATAGATCTCGTAGAGAGCTATCGATTCATACCATATGTAACTTAATCTGACCTGCACAGCAAACGTTAGATCGTTAAAACCCTAATTTCGAATGTGTATTCAAAAATAAAACGCAAAGCTTGTAGTCTACAGGTGGTCAGCCACTTTGAAGAAACTCGACATCAAAACTACGTAAATTTATGGATAGATAGGTTCAGCAGAATATAAGAAGTCAAAATTGATGTTATAACTTGGTTTTGAAGAAAAAAAACAAAACAGGCATGAAGGCATACAGTTTGATAGAGCATTAAATGCTCTACAAACGTACTATTTGCTTTTTGCTTTTCGTGCCTTCTTTTGTTAGAAAAACTTACTTTTCTCTCAATAACTCATCTAAAAAACACGTTTTTTTCGACTTTTGCTGGGTTTATCTCGGTGAGTTGATGAGACATCGAGCTTAGATTTTCTGTGATAGTGAAGGAAGCAAACAGCGATAAAACAAATAAAAGAATTTCGAAATCCGTTTTCAGAAACCGGAGTAATTTTAAAAATACGACAAAAACTCAATTGTACAATAAAGTTGCAAATGACTCATAT